GATGCAGAGAATTGGAGACATGTGTGCTCCAATTTGTTTCGACTGCTTCAGACGCACTGCGTGCCGCTTCGGTGTCTTGTGCTCGAGGGCTGGGCACAGCCCACGTGAACCCAGATTCACTGGCTGCATTTACAGCTTGTCTATTAATACTAATAGACCTTGATAAGGGCATTGGGTTTAGGCTCATAGTCATAGGCGCAGTTTCTAGCACAATACCAAGCAAATACATTCGCTCGGCTACTGGTCCTAAGGTTCGTGAGGCCGTGATTTGTTACCAGCTATGTGTCGGACTGGTTTGTGGGTTGGAGGCGGCCACGCATGCGATGTAGACAACATTTTATTGCCCTGATACTGAAGGCGTTTTTGTTGACCGATGCATCTAATGCCCTCAACAGATTGAATCGTCAAGTTTGCTAACTCAATGTTTGCCATTTGTGCCCACCCCTGGAGAACTTGGCCACTGTCCTAATCAATACCTACCGTGAACCGGCTCTTTTATACATCGATGGGGAATATATTCTTTCGCAAGAGGGCACAACACAAGGTGATCCCCTCGCGAAGCCTATGTACGCTCTGGGCATGCTGCCCCTTATTCAGCAAGCGTCTTGCGCAGACACTGTTCAATTTTGGTTTTCCCACGAGTCTCCCGCGGCTGGCCGTCTACGTCCTTTGCGACGGTGGCGGTAGATCCTCACGGAACGAGGTCATGCTTTCGGCTATTTCTTCGATGCCAATTAATCTGTATTGTTGATTAGAGAAAAGTGCGTGCTTGAGGCAAGGTATCTTTTTAAGGACGCCGGCGTTATGATCACCTCATATGGAGCACGTTTTTTAGGGCGCCGCAATTGGTTGTAGTGCGCTTAGAGAAAAATTACTATGTCAAGTCAAAGGTACAAAACTGAGTGCTGGAGGTGGAGCAATTTGCGGTAATATTGCTGGAATGGAGGTGGGGATGAACACTTTTCCTCCGAGGCCCTGCGCAACAGCATTGATGTTGCGCGTGCGAAGGGATCGTCGAACTGGTCAACGTGTCGCCCATTTAGGAAGTATGGCTTTAGTATCAACAAACAAGGGCTTGGGGATGGGTTGCGCCTTCGTTATGGGTGGACACCTGCTAGGCTTCCATCGCCTTGCTCCTGTGGTCATGACGGCAATGTGACGCACTCGCTTTCTTGTCCCCATATAGGTTCCCGTCGATACCACATACCAGCCATTCATGATCTCTTTCACCCATATTTCATGTTGCATGAGCTATAACCTCTATTTTGTCCTGTTGTGCCCAGCGCGGGCGTGCGACTAGCTGGTTTGGAGGTGACGGCGTTGTGAATGACCGAGGATCCTGTACGTCTGGTCTCACCGTCCAGGCAGTTATAACTGACTCACGTTGTCTTGTGTTCACGAGGTGTTTGTCGCGCTGGAAATGGAGTGTCTCTTTAAGTTTGTATCCCTGGTGATGTTTGTGCCTGGAGAGCACTATATAAGTGGTGCTCTTCAGTAACAATCTTCCTCAGCCTACTCAAGCTCAACTGATGAGGGGTGAATTGTGTATTCAGCAGGGAGTGGTGCTTTCTAGCCGGTTTTGCCAAGTCGAAGGTTCGATTGACTTCTCGTGTTCTCTGGATGGCAGTCGTGATTCAGTCAAGTGTCAAGTCGTCGGCGGAATAGCGCGAGCTCCAGTGTAGGAGCAAACCCATTCCTAAAAGAAGCTATAAAGAGACAATTTATATGTACGTTGCTATGTTAACCATGGCAAAAAAAAAAAAATTTGGTGAATAGGCCAACGGACAACTTCGTCATATTCTGGTTTTCAGGGGTCAGTTATCACTGTTATGGGTTGCTATGACATTCCATATCATGAAAATCTTCCTGGACAGGTGGTCACCCTAACTCCTTATTCCTTTGACTTTGACAGACTTGGCTCCTAGAATAAAAAAAGAGTAAACTCAGGGAAACCGCTGAAACAATTGAATAAACACGTCAGACGAACTATAAAGCTCGGTGTCACGATAACGATATTTTATTTGATTCTTTTTGCACAAGAGAGAGATTGGAAGCTTTGTTACAACTCTGTGCTTCACGTTCACGGTTCCTTTTGTTGGTTTCTTTTACAAAACCACTTAAGCACAACCTAAATGGTGACAGTGGCGATGAGGTGTAGAGGAGGACGACGGCCTCTCAACGCACCAATAAAAGTCTGGATGGGAGCACGGTCTGAAGGCATGTCCGGTATGTGTCCTAACCATTCAAAACGCAGACGCCGAACAAGGTCTGAAAACGGTGTAGTGTCACCCAGTGTGCACCGAGTGCTGCGGATGAGATCCTCTCCTCCAATTGCTGACGCCGAGATTCACTTTGGACGGAGGGAATCCAAGTCATAGTGACGCGTAGACCATGACTTAGCACCATAGATCTAAATTAACACAGATACAATCAGGCTGTATATAAATGTCGCTATTTTGCTACTGTCAAACTTGCATCCCAGAACACTGGTAGGAGGCAGCCAGATGCCTTTGCCGCATTGGTAATCCGTCTCTGTGTGCGTGTGTGTGTTTGTGTGACCTAAAGACTCGAATTCATGGCCACCTAGACGCACCAAGAGTGGGTGGGGGAGGGAGAGCGAGAGAGAGAGTGAGAGAGAGATAGATGTTGTTCTGTCTTGTGTCGTACACTAACCCTTTTCAGGTGATCGAGTAATATTTGCATCAAGACCCTAAGACACCTAAATGAAAATAATATTATTCAGTAGTTGGAGGGAAAGTTTCAAAGGGGAAACGTAGTGTTAGGTACCTACGCCCGTACAGTATACCCTTTTCCCCTAGATGGCCTGCATGCATCCGTTCTACGTCATTCTCATCTTTCGTTCCGTTGGCCTGGGTAGCTATTTGCGCACCCATGTTTGCTATAGCTACCCAGGCCCCATATATATATATATATTTGTAGCAGTTGAGCACTCTTGCGTGGGGTAGTGCCTTTGCTGTTTGCGTTATGCAGAGCTCACTGACTTGTCAGTTTGAGCACTCTGGCAAGGTACGTTCGGGCCTGATTGGAAATTTTTATTTCCATTGCTATCAGGTTCGGCCTCATTTCCTCTGTGCTGCGCTGACGAGTCCACAAAGGACGAAACAGTTCTGTCTGCAGATTGAGTATTTCGCTCCTGCTCTTGTAGCAGTTGAGCACTCTTGCGTGGGGTAGTGCCTTTGCTGTTTGCGTTATGCAGAGCTCACTGACTTGTCAGTTTGAGCACTCTGGCAAGGTACGTTCGGGCCTGATTGGAAATTTTTATTTCCATTGCTATCAGGTTCGGCCTCATTTCCTCTGTGCTGCGCTGACGAGTCCACAAAGGACGAATCAGTTCTGTCCGCAGATTGAGTATTTCGCTCCTGCTCTTGTAGCAGTTGAGCACTCTTGCGTGGGGTAGTGCCTTTGCTGTTTGCGTTATGCAGAGCTCGCTGACTTGTCAGTTTGAGCACTCTGGCAAGGTACGTTCGGGCCTGATTGGAAATTTCTATTTCCATTGCTATCAGGTTCGGCCTCATTTCCTCTGTGCTGCGCTGACGAGTCTACAAAGGACGAAACAGTTCTGTCCGCAGATTGAGTATTTCGCTCCTGCTCTTGTAGCAGTTGAGCACTCTTGCGTGGGGTAGTGCCTTTGCTGTTTGCGTTATGCAGAGCTCACTGACTTGTCAGTTTGAGCACTCTGGCAAGGTACGTTCGGGCCTGATTGGAGATTTTTATTTCCATTGCTATCAGGTTCGGCCTCATTTCCTCTGTGCTGCGCTGACGAGTCCACAAAGGACGAAACAGTTCTGTCCGCAGATTGAGTATATATTAGATATATATTATTGCGTTCCCTCCCTTCAAATCTCTCTCTCCACTCTCTTCAAATAATCGCTCTATTGAGTCGAGCTCTCTCTAGTCATAATGTAGTTGTTGCCTTATGTTGTGTCAGAATGTCCAACAATGGCGTCGAACATTGGCGCCCGGCTTTTCGCTCGGACCCACGACCCTGCTCCAGAACTCGTCGTCAGTTTCGTCTCGTCTTCAACCTCGTCTTGTCTCTGTCAACCTTGTTTCGCCTATGTTTACCTCGTCTTGTCCAAGTTATGCAGGTCAGCTACCTTTCTCTCTTTCTTTTTTGTTTGCGTTCCTTCTTCGTCCATTTTATTTTCGGTTTATATATTTCGTGATTTTTTTGTAGTGTGTGTGCGCGCGTGTGTTCATTAAATATTTCCAAATTAGAGGTCCGATCATGGTGAGCCACGCTCCAATTTTTGATGTTTAGCAGAAGTGCAACTACGCTATTTTTAGCCATGCAGGCAGTATCAGTAGGTTCCTCGTCACATCTAGTTTCTTATCTTTAGACTTAGAGAGGTACAGGAACAATAACTGTAATGCATGATACTAGTAAACACTTTTGTGAGATCCGTGCGCGCGTGCAATATGTGTGTGTGTTTTTTCTTCCTCAGTCATTTTTTATCCATTTTTCTCTTTTTTATTTCTTTTTTTCTCTCTGCGAGGACGCGGGATTCCTTTTTCATGGAGGGGTGGTATGTTAGGTACCTCCGCCCATACAGTTTACCCTTCTGCCCTAGCTGGCCTGCATGCACCCGTACTACGTCATTCTCACCTTTCGTTCCCTTGGCCTGGGTAGCTACTTGCTTACCCATGTTTGCCATAGCTACCCAGGCCCTTTATATTACGCTGCCTCCCTTCAAATCTTTGTTGGGAGAGATCCCAACTCTCTTCAAATAATCGCTCTCTTGAGCCGAGCTCTCTCTGGTCATAATGTAGTTTTTGCGTTGCGTTGCGTCGCTCTCTTGAGTTGAGCTCTCTCTCTAGTCATAATGTAGTTGTTGCCTTGCGTTGTGTCAGAATGTCCAACAATCTCGTTCAACAGTAGTACGTCAGCCTGCAACAAAAGCTGACCAAACTTCTTTTTGGCCTTCTAATGACTTGTAGTATGTGCATCAGGCGATATCTGGTTTTGAGCAGAACGCACCTTTGCGGACAAAATGCTGTCAAGTATCAGCAAGTGTGGAAATACATACAGGAATGGGAAGGTGAAATTTTAAAGGGTCGCAGTGCTTACCAGAATGCAGGAGACTGGAACCATGTAATGTACGCAGGTTTAGGGAGAGAAAGTCATTAGCAGTAAACATATCGAAGGATGTGCGTGGAATAAAAACTTCAAAGGCGTTTTGAATGCGTGCGCAAACGCCGCACGCATAACAGTAATAATGCATGAGTAATCGTATTGGTAAAACAAAACCAAGACAGTAAGCAAAGGCGGTCATGGACATTCAGGACATCACAGAACGCGTCAGTTTCTTCTTTTATCTTGAGAGTTCTACCGTAAGAGCATTATACAAACGTACTTCATTGTCCTGGTCGGTGTATTACTAAAGAAAGGGAGTTCGACAGCTATAAGCAGATGGGATGGCTACAATGACGGCTGGGGAAATTAAGCCTATCTGTTAGAGCTCGGAATCACCAAGTTGTTCGTAGATTACGTTGTGTGGCATTTGGTTTCCATTCACTGGTTCGTATGCGACGTTGTCGTTTGGCACCTCTGCTATTCCATATGCGTCGTTTGAGTTCAAGACTTGCACTGTTCCGTACATCTCGGTGTCGCTTAGCGCAGTTGCATCGGGCTGTTTATCCCGTTTAACGGTATTGTGATCTGTAAGGATGTCTTGCTGTGGTCGGCGAAGCCTTTTCAAGATTACTGACATCAGGATTGATGAAATTGCACCTGCTAGAAATCCGACGGTACCACTTAAAGCTGCTGTTTCGGTGGTGTTAGAATCGGCCCTTGAGCTCATGATCTCTAATAATATGAAGCAGAAAACAGGAGCACAGATTTCATCAGTATAGTTTCCCTCGAACCCTTCTTGCCCATTCCAACATTCCTACGCGTCTATCATGTCTATCTTGTGCGAATCACCACCCCCCCCCCCCCCGCCCCCTTCATCTCCCCCAACTCCGACAGAACGGGCTCCCCATTCAACCACCAGGCACATGAGGTCAACGAGTGTGGCTTATGTGGTTTGCAGAAAAATCGGGCCAGCTAGTGAAAGAGGCACAGAATGTAACTATTATAAGTAAAGTGTATGTGCAAGTCCCCCAGGGTGCGTGCACATTTGAATTGGAAAATCTCCAACCCTACATTGCACCACTGAGAAAACCAGAAATGCGAATCCTGGTGTTAGACCTTGAGGTGGCGTTTGCCACGTGGCGTAGAAAATTGGCTTACATGAAATTTCATGGAAATATTGGAATCGGTTCATTACAATTATGATCATAATTATGTTGTCACCATTCCTTTCCCCAGCGCGGGCGGGCGAAGTCAACAATGTTGTGAATAGCCGATGGTCTTCAGCGCTTGCTGTCTACTTCCATGAACTACTGGAGTTCGCGAGGTGTTTGTCACGCTGGGTATGGTCTCCCAGGAGTGTCACGGTAAGTTAGTAATCCCAGTGGTGTTTAGGCTCGGAGAGAGCTTTATCATGCAGTGTTCTCATAGCACATTTTCATTAGCCTACTCAAGCTCACCTAATGAGGGGTGAAGTTCCCTAAACACTGGGTATTGAGCTGGGAGTTGTGTTTTTTTGCAAGTTTGCCGATTGTCAGGTTCGATGAACTTCTCCAGTGCTCTGGTTGGCACTCGTGAGTGAATCAAGTCCGATTCAAGTCAGTAGAAAAGGTGCGAGCACCTATGCATGGAGCGACTTACAGTTTCCTAACTATCGCCATAGTCGCAGCAACCTCTTCTTCAAATATCCCAAATTGTAACTCAAAATATCACAACTAGGTTCGGGAGCCTGAACATTCCATGAAGAAAAGCAGCCACTCGTTCTAAGGCCAGAACAGGAAGCAAGCACCTTTGCAACTTGCAGCATCTCAAGTTTTTTAAACCTAAATCAAGGCACATTTTGTCTATTCCTGCTCCCACCTTACGGGTATTCTTCATTCGATACATCTTCCGTTTCCGCCAATGGGCTATCGTGAAAAACCCATCATAGAATTTACCTTTGCACGTTTGACCTGTGGACGCCCAAGATCCATTCTTGTCGCACATGACGGTTTTGTTTCCTTGGAGCTCGTACTTGGGATCACATACAATCGTTGCAAAAGTACCAAACTTTGCTTCAGTGTGCCCAACAATCACTAATCCATTGTTGAATGTCGGTAGAAAATCGCAAACCACAGCTGAAAGAAGATAGAAAATAATTAGTGTTACAGGAGTACGTACGACAAATAATAGCAATGGATTCGGATGTAGAGCCAAGGATTAATATATGGCTAACAGCTCTAGCCCACACTTTTTTTTATTGATCTTCGCATCTTTTAAGCCACACAAGTTGTGGAATGTTGCTTTGCTTTCTTGAATCGTGGTTTGACCGTATTGTCCAATGGTCTTGCCAGTATTACCATCGGCCTGCATGGACATCCGCCAACGTCCTTCACAGTTGAGACTTTCAGCTCGTGCTTATGTTGGTTGCGCTCACCTTCCCGTCCTTATGTTATTTCTGTAACTTAGAACCTTCCAAGTTGGAAGGTTGTTGGAGTGCGCATCCAAGATGTGCTAGAGCTGTTAGCCAGTTAGTTGTAGAACGTCAGTACCGTCGGTCAGTGTCGTGCAATGTTATCGCATGAGCTGATTATTTAGTAACTGGTGGTGGTAGAGGACAGTATAGAGTTACTTGTAGTTCCTCGGTCCTTTCTCTTTTCTACTTCGAAGTATAAATAAATATAGGCCCCGGAAATGAATGTACATTCGTGGAAATAGGAGTCTGCATTTTGTTCTCCTTTCTTTGCAACTGGGGTTAGTCAAGTGCGAATTCAAGTCGGCAGGAAAACCGCGAGCCCCTATGTGACGATGTTCCACTGATGATAGTCCACAGAAAACGTTCTGGAATTGTATCGTTTTAATTGTTTTGTACATGGTTATGAGTGCACAATTGATATTTTTCATTGCCTTTTTACGAGTGTTGTCTCCTCGTGGATTACGAGGATTTAAATAAACAGTTGAAATATTTTAAAAAGAAAACACATAATGTACACTAACGTTCGCAACGTGGAAGAGTTGTCCACAAGTCTAGAGCGCTGCATGCTATAGTTGCGTTGCCTTCCAAATTGTAGCCATCTTCGCAACCAACATAGTGCACTTCACCTGTTATAGCTTGTAATCCCGATATGTTGCTGTTCGGAATGTTAGGAGCAGTGCATGAATCACCTGCAGTGTAATAGAAAAAGTCACGGTTCGCATGAGACTCGGCTGAGACCGAGTTTTCCGCATCCTTATCAACGCCACCAACCACCAAGGACAAAGGTGAAGTTGTAGCTCCTACAGCGGAGGCAGTCGAGGAGATCAGACCCACCAAAGCGGTCAAAGACCGAAAATCTCACTCACAGCATACATTCTTCGTTCGTGGCAGGAAGCGAGTGTAGTAGAATAGATTAGGCAGAACAAGAAGGAAGGAATGTGTATCAATGATAACTCAAATTATGCAAGCATGTGTGTGTGGGGGGGGGGGGCGGGAGGGGGGGGGGAAGGGAGACAGGAGAGGCCGGAACAAACTTCAACAACTCTAATCTGCCGCCGCCCAGTTCCCTAAGACAACTCCCTGCATCTACTCTGCTGTAAATGGGTCTCGCTTACAATTCTCCCTCGAACTTGAAATTGGTGATTATCATCGTTCACGTGCTATTTTTTTGTATTTATATCATTATCTCATGGCACATCATCATGACGGCCGGTAAAACTGAGACAAGGGGGAAAGCCAACCACAGCAGTAAAACAGATAAAAGAATACAAATAAGAGGCAAAGAAGGCAAAGGAGGAGACAAACCAGCAGGATATACATGAAACCTATAATTGAGCAGAGATTTTAGCAACAAAATTATCCATCGACGTGCTGGTCTTGGCCTGCGTTGGTAATTTTGCCCAAAACACATAGCCAGCAAAGATCGGGGATCTAGTGAATAGGGTGGAGACAGCGCGTGTGAGACTGAGTGAGTTCCGGGTATTCCGTGTTTCGGAGAACCAATTATAAGCCTGCATATGCAAGGGTATTTTATTTAGTAATATTTTATGTATGAGAACACAGAGGTGGTACTTATGTCGAGTGGAAAGGGGACTGATCTTGGCAATTTCGTAAAGACTAGCGGAGGGAAAGCGACGATCTTTGCTAAATAAGATTTTAAGGAGCATGCGGTTATGGGTTTCTAGCTTGTTCAATACAGTAGTAGTTATGCCAGACCAAGCAGTATCACAGTAGTCAAGTAAGGGCAATATATAGCAACGATAAAACAAGCGTTTGCAAGAAAGAGGAAGATGTCTGCAGTGGGCTTGAAGAGCCCCAAGGATGGAGCTTGTGCGTTTGCAGACATACTGCACATGGGGTGACCACAACAATTTAGAGTCAATAATAACGCCAAGATGCTTATGCTCTTCAACAATACGAATAACAACACTTGAAGAAGGAAAACAAAGTGGCAGGGAAGGGGGAGAAGGGGAAATGTACATAGCTGCCGTTTTATCATTATGATGAAGTATTGTGCGTGTGCGTGTGTATGTATGTAGTATTTATGTATCGTTCGATTGATGTCAAGGCGAGATTACCTTTGCATGTTGAATTACTCTTCCACGTGCCAGAGGCTCCACAGATTGCTATGCCAGAGCCAGCCAAAGAGAAGCCCTTATTGCATAAAACTGTAGCTTGTTCGTTGATGACACCTTCAACTGGTTGAATACGCCCATTGTCAATGACAGGTGTCGAAGAATTGCAAACAAGTTCTATAAACAGTTAGGAGTAGAAGCCACACGCTCTCGTAAAGCTGATGAAGGCAATTTGCCGAAACGTTGTAAAGTGTAAAGACATAATTATTATATAGAAAAGAAAAAGGACCAAGGAACTCCTAGTTACGCTATAATGTCCATTAACACTACAAATTACTAAACAATCAGCTCATGCGATAACATTGCACGGCAACTTGAAACTTGTAGTTATGGTCCTTTTTCAATTCTAGAAATTTACCCTTGGCTCTCCATCCGAGTCTATTCTTATAAATTATTAGATTATTATCACTGTCTTAGTATTGACTACCCATTAATTTTCACCACACCTAAGAAGTCAAATATTTCTGCATACCCGTAATGTCGCGTGCATTAGCCGGGGCTTATATGCCTATAAGCCGGTGATGGAGTCAGGCTTGTACACAAGACAGGCTTATACACGAGACAGGCTTATATGACAAGCACCACTCAATGACCAGGCTTGTATGCGCAAACTGCTGACTTTTGGACGTCAAAACCAACATTTTCCAACGGGATTTTTTTTCTTTTTTTTCGCTCCCTGAACCGCGTCCCCCCTCTCCTTTCTCTCTCTCTCTCTCTCTCTCTCTCTCTCTCTCTCTCTCTCTCACACACACACACACACACACACACACACACACACACACACACACAAACGAACAAGCCAACTCATCAAACACCAGCAGCTTCACAGTAGAGTTCAACTCCTTTTCAGGTCATGAGGTGTGGAGTACGATGATAAAGTGTGCAAGTGTACGGTACCATGCAAACATGAACATGTAAAAGGCGCGCTCACAAGTCTTGCGTAGTAGCCCGGCTTACGCACGCGACACGTGGCGCGTCTCGTGTACTGGCCCGGCTTATGCATGCGACAGGCTTGTACGCGAAAAGCTGTTGCAGATTTCATGCTTCTACACAAGACAGGCTTATGCACAAATCCGGCTTATGCACGCGACATTACGGTATTGCACTCCTTACGGCTACATTTAGCGCTTTCGATTACACGTTTACACAATTCTGGAACTGGGTTGTGTATTTCTCGAATGACCAGAATGTACGAATTCCGGCCATATAATCGAACGACTAGAATTCACAGCGCATTTTATTAATGGCATATCACAAACAAATTTGGTCGTAACAAGAGATCTCGCACACCCTCGCGCGCACGTGGGCACAGCTTCGCGTACTCGTACATCCCGGGCTTGGTGTAAATTTTATTTTGATTCGCAAATTCAAACGGGCATAGCACTCAATATCTTGAAAGCGAATATGAAATTTATAATGAGAATGAGAATTAAAATACTTAGATCTTCATCGTAGAGTCTGAGGTACATCAGAGGGAGATCGGGTACAACAGAAAGAGAACAGAAAAACAAACGATTTCGCTTGTCTTCAGCATCTACAGGGCACAGGTATTGGGGATTGCCTGCGTGTGAAACTGCCGATGGTGACCGGTGAAGGCTGCATGTCCACATTTCGGTAACAATATTGGGCTTCGGTAAAGCTGAACGCGTGTGCGAAAGGACCACCGAAAACGGAAACTAAACCGTGGCAATTAGCTTTTCGGTCAGAAATAAGTAGCAACTAGTGTAGCGGACATGGAAATCCAGTCGATTGACCACGGCCGGCGCCCTCAGAACGCTGCATGCAGTGCAAAATCATGTTGATCCGAAGCGACCAGCGCGCTGCAGCGCATAAATGCAAGTGTGTACTGGAAGGCCTCTTTCACAGGCAAAGCAAAGCACATTCATCACCATGTATTAGTACAGTAAATAATTAAGAGAGCATGTCTGAGAATACCGAAGTATGTGTGCAAGTGGATCTCTCCGATTTCGCTCAAAATTTGCAGGTAGGTTGCCTTTGGGATGTGGATCGACTGTGCAAAGCCCTTGAAAAAGTTTCTGAAGGGAACCTTGAAATTTGCATACCCCTCAAAAATGGCCGAAATATCACATTATTTATGGGTCTAGAAACGAGTCACGCCACAGCGTATACGAACAAGCTATGAACAAAACTCCATCAAGCCAACATTGCCTCACCTTAGAAGAGTTCCTGGAGCAGTACCGCTTAGCCACGCCAGCATCCCAGAAGACGAGGTCCATCACCCCCTGACGCCACAAATGATCGTCTTGAAAATAGCCAATTTACAAGCGCTGGCAAAACAGCCAGCTACGTCCTCAATTGGCCAGAACTATACACCGGCAGATAGTAGAACACCTCTTCTAGCGCTGAGGAAATGTCTCCCATCTTCCTTTTGGGGTTTTCTTGAAATAAACTTTTTTGAATTTTTCCACTCGACCATGCTGAAATACGGCCAAAGTCATACCTGCGCAGGAAAGCTCGCCCCTCCGCGACGTCTCCTCAGCAATTTCTACTCCAACACTACTCCCAAGGCCGCAGAACAAACTATAGTGTTGACTCTGACAAGGAAAAGCAGCGGTGATCACTTGTCACTCCAAACGACAAGCTTCTTCTTGCGCCACCAATATTTTTTTGTGCGACTGTTGATGCAAAAGTGACTGAAGGCCTGAGCGCAGTTTTTGAATTTTATTGCAAGATGCACGGTGAGATCGCGTGCTCTGTGACGTAGGATGACGCTTCCTGCATCACGATACGCGGCCAACGATCGTGAAAGTGCCTGGAACGCTATACTCGGAACAGACCATGATGGCAGAGGTAAGATGAGCTTCATTTCCTGCTTGAACTGCTGAGAACCCCAACAAACTGTCCTAGGAGTGTTGCAATGGCAGCAAGCCGTTGAAATATGCCCCGTACAGCATGGAGAGTTATTCGTCTTTCACACTTACCTCCTGCAATCCCGAACATAGTCCAACAGTAAAAGTCCCTTGTTTTCATGTCGATGCTCGACAAAAGCGGCTAGCTCGGTCCCTGTGTTGACTGGCACGCGAGTAGCACTGACTGCACGCACTTGTCGCGTGAACTGCATGAGAGATTTCTTACGTCATAAAGAATGTGATTTCATCATCATTTCACTGGTCTTCGACCTACATGGTCAGGGAAAGTCCCGGTTCGTAGGCCTACAACACTCCCAGCGTGTTCTTGAGCGCAGTAACAACACAAGTGGGATCACTTCCAGACCAACGGGCGTTCAAGGCGAGTAACAAGCGCACTTGACAAAGGTGACTCTGAAATCTCGTGAGCCGTGGGCCACGCGACTTGGCATTCTTGCGTCACAAGGCACGTG